CTGCCCAGGCCCGCTTCCTGGCCGCTGCCTTTCCATGTCGCGGCCTCTGTGCCCGCAGGAAGCAGCTGCCGACCGGAGGGTCTCGGGCTCCACCGGGGCCCGGCTGGCCCCACCCACGGGCTGCCCTTCTCGGGGACCGGGTCTCCCTAAGGTGCTTGGGCCTCGTTTCTGAAGCCCCAGGAGAAAGCAACACCCAGACCCGCTGCCCTCCCGCCGCAAGGAGGCTGTGGGGTGGCCCCAGGCCCAGTGCACACTCCTGGGCTGACCCCACCTGCCCCTCCCCTGCCGGCCAGTGCCTGGACACTGTGACAGAGCAGAGACCCTGGGGCTGTCCCGGGGGGAGGGCGGAGGGGAGGGCGAGGGCTCCCACAGCTGCCGCCCCAGAGGGCCACCTGTGGGGCTGAGGAGGACAGAGGCGCCTCAGGCTCCGGGTCCGGCCAGCCCTCGACAGACCCCCTGTGGCCTGTGCACCAGCGGCCCAGCTCCGAGGAGGGCAGGACAGGCCGGTGGGCAGAGGGAACTGCAGGCCAGGCACTGTGGTCTTTCTCCCGGGAGGCAGAGACGAGGAGGAGCAGGCTGCGGCCTTGTCGGGGTGCTACAGACTCAAAGCCTCCCCCTAACTTGCCATCCAGAGAAGGGGTAGACCCCTGGGATGGCCCCGGCCGAGCGCCCGGGCAGCCTCGACCAGCCTTCGGGCCCCTTGGCCTCCTGCGTGTCCCTCCCTGGCCCCGAAATGCAGGCCAGGCAGGCCCTGCCCAGGCCTCCGGGACCCGACAGTGCCCACGGCCGGGCGTGCTCAGACCCCCAGGGAGCTGCTTTCAGGGAACCAGCCAGGGGCCTGCACCACGCTTCGGTCTAGGGACCTCCTCGCCCAGGGAGGGCACCCCCCCGGCCCCCGCCCGTGGCCTCCTGAAGGGCCGGCCCCGCAGCCCGCCCCGAGACCTCGCCTGGCTGCTCAAACGCTTCGCCTGGGCCCTGGGCCAGGGGACCCCAAAGCCTGCCGACAGCCCCAGTGCCTCGGGCCAAGTGGCCGGCCCCATGCTGCCCTGGGCCAGTCCCGAGCCAGGGGGTGTCTCTGTGCCGCGCCCTTCCACCGGGGACCCCAAGGCCCGTGGTCCTCACCTAAGGGCCCTGATATCATGGGGTACACTGGATAGTGTCCCCCAAACTCACGTCCACCAAGAACCTCAGACTGACGTGAGCTCAGCGGGGCGGGGGCCCCGACCCTCGGAGTCCTCAGGAGTCAGAGTTGCGGCGCGGGAGCCAAGCAGGCCAGGCCTCCCGGGCCCTGGGCGCAGCGTCCACGCTCGGAGCGGGGCTCCCGCCCGAGCCTCCAGGCTGGGCAGACGGTGCCCCGCAGACGGGCCGGGCC